GCAAATAGGATAGGGGTGCTATCCATGGAGGAAGTCGGGGTGCCCTTATCACATCCACGCACTGGATGGGTCTTTAAACAAAAGAACAATAGAACGTACTCCTGACAGTTGTATCAACAACTAAAATCCTCACAGCCCTGAAGACATAAATCTAAGCACCAATTTTGCCTTGGGTCTCCAGTGTCTGGCTTGAGGCGCAATTAATTCCTATCCAGCTGTTCCACATACATGTGGACACCCCTAGCTACACTCCCTAGAATATATTTAGTATTATATAATAACCAGGAGTCACAAAGGAGTGGCTTTAATCCCTAAGTGAGTGGATATTGTGCACCCTATCCTCCAATAGGCACCCCTTTGTGACTCCTGGTATAATCATGGAAGTGGATGGCATGGCCATGCAGGGCCAATGACCATGAAATCTGAATACCAATCAGGTAGTTGTCCGCGAAACCATGATTGTCATGATTCTCTTATCAGGGAGCGATCCACCAGTCGATGTTTTCTTCTACTTTCACTGCGTTCACTCGAAAGTCATGACCGTTTGGGTTCTCAGGCTGTTGTTTTTCGTTGAACTCCAGCAGACCTGCCTCCTTTTCGGCTCATGACCTGCTTCCATGGCTGGCGGATCTCGTTGGCGACATCTTTTGGACTGCTGTGTGTCTTGGGTCCGTTCAACAGGAGGAGACAAGACAGTTTGAATTGGATTCGTTGTGAAGAGAGAAGTACATATCTACCAGCAGTTCCAGGTTGGAATGGTTTATAGTCCCATCCAGGGACCGTGGATGAGAAAAGTGATAGTGTCTGAATATCAATGTCATCAAGATATATAGTATGTGCACCTTTTGTTGTCGCACCGCTGTCGCTGTTGTGGGTGGTGCGTCGATATCGTTGTAGTCCCCATATATTCTTCGTTGCAGTGGTCTTTATTACACATAGTTCTCGTTCAAACCAACACAGTGCTGTCCTGTAAGCCACATGACGTACAGACAATCTCAATGTCATTGCATGAACAACTGGAATCATTCCACGTGCAATTGGGTGTGTGTTTTCATAGGGGAGCCTCATGGGACCCTATTTATCAGACTGGACTGGTCTACCCAGGAGCCAGGGAGGTCCCCATACACAAATGAGTCGCGATATGCGAACTTCACCCAGCAACTCCTGCTGACTTAGCCACTCCACAGCAAAAGGATAGGAATGGCCTCCAACCAAATAGTGATGGCCTCCAACCTATATAAGAGCGATGAGTCTATGAAGTATGTCCTTTGAGCTAGCAACGCCAACAAGGAGTTAAGGGTCCCACCACGAGTCATCCTGTGCAAGCACGAAGAAGGATTATTGATCTTTGGGCTATCTCCTTGCATTTCATCCACACCAGAAGAGGAAGATGGTTCAACTTACCCTGTTGTCAATGTTGTACTCATGCGCACACACACACAATGCCATCCAGAAGAGATATCATGCTTCAGAGTCTCACAAACAAAGGCTCAACCGCTAGCAATGTGGTCCCTGGCAAACATTATGCTCAAAATGGTCAACAGTCAACAAAGTCAACAAATCATGGCCAAACAGGGGCTTCGGCTTAGAACACCTCATGTGTGACTCACTCATAAGTGAAACAATGAACTCCATGTCAACAAGAACATCTTCAGCTCACTCTTGCGTTCGCCCAGCGGCAATGTAGACCTGCCTCATGCAGCTTTGATATGTTTTGATCGCTTGTATATCGTCGATCGTCAACATGTGATCAGAATACAGCAAGCTACTTTCCTCACCTGTCCATGCATCGTTCCTTCCCTCGCAACATGAAACGGTCTCTTCTCTTTTCAACCGATGGGATAAATGGCGCATGCTGTTGCTTCTTTGTGCAGCACTCGGTATCATGACTGGGATTCCAGATTTGTCGTGGAGCCCCAAATTCTACGTTTCTGTCGCCCTCAGGCAACACATCGGCAGCTGCAGCTCTCAATTTCAGCCAAAAACAACTTTGATCCAAGGGCCTGAGCGCTTAGAAATAGTTGATTTGGATCTTTTTTGCAATCCCAAACCATCCATGAAACTGAATAAACTGGCACATTGGCCTACATTCACTCTGGGTCAAAAAAGAAAAAACACCCCCAAGGATCCCCAAGGTATGTGCGTATGTTCGTCCCAAACCGGTTCGGTTTCCTTTTTCCTCGGCGACAAACAAACCGCGAACCTGGGCGAATTGCAGATGGCAACACTGAGGTGGTATTTTCTTGACCCGGGGTGAATGTGGGTGAAGTCCTGCGAGTTCGCACTGGTCGTCGATGGTCGGGGTAATACATGTTCGAATCTGTTCGAGGTCTGAATTGCGATGACATCCATCGATGGTCCTGCGATGTCCTGCGCCGTGGGGGGTGTTGTTCAACCGCTCGACGATCGGAGACATGACTCGTTTTGGAGTGTAAAAGTTAAAGTATAAGCTTGGCTACATGGCCAAATATGCAATCTACAGTCGTCCTCAAGGGATATGGGAAACTGCCTGCAAAAGCACTAAAAGCATAGGACTCAAGACGGAAATGCAATGTGCCAGGACCTTCAAAGTGACCTTTTGAGATCCCAGAATGAGGTCACTTAGTCCCTGAAGAGGTCACTTACAGACTCCAAAGAGGTCACTTTGAAGGTCCTGGTGGACATGGAACCCATCTCCCAAGACACTCCGTCCGATTGGGTGGCGATCCATTGACGGGAAAAACCACCCCCAAGGTGATCGGCCAAGATCGCAGTCCCAGTCCGACCATGTGCCAGGACTTGTTCCTTCTGCTTTGCTTTGAGAGTTTGTCCTCACAATAGCACCAGGTGCCAAACGGTGCCACTTGGATCAGGCCAGACGTGCAGCACCTGCTTCCTAGCTGCTTCCCGATCTCAGGGGTGGACCGGCGAGACCTGTGCAGGACTTCGCCCCAGGTCCAAGCTTGGCTGGGCTTTCAGGGTCCGGTCCGAGCTGGGTGCTTCGTGTTTTGTTTCGTACTTAGCATGCTAGACAGTCGCAGGACCTACCAGCCCATGATCCTCTCTTTGACCTTTTTCTCGTCTTGTGGGAGCTATCTCAAAAGCTCAAAGCACTGTGACTTGGATCTGTGCATGTTACATGTGAGACCGATTTTGAGATACCAAGGCCGCTCAACATCAATGAGAGGAAGTCCCGATTCCAGGTTCCAAGACAGCCCACCAGGGCAGTATCTGCAACATCCCTATCGTCTTCGTCCGAAACACGTCAGCACAGGTCAAACGAACGGCTATTCAGGAGCTGCTGCAACATGTTGCAACCATCACTTCTTCGTTCAAGTTGGATCCATACTGGTCTTCCACAATCTCAAAAGACGTTCTCAACAGCTTTGACATGCTTTGATTCTTTCTCCAAGGTTCCTAACCCGGGCCCGGCCGCTCTCTTTTGGCGATGGTCATCGTAGGCGCTCATGTCAGGTCAGGTGCTTGTTCTTCAAGCCGGTGGCCGTCTCGAGAAATCAACCCGAAAAAGAACCATCCAAAGGTCCGACAGGGGGCTCAACGTCCAGATGGTCAGTCGGCGGTTGATTGACCTGTGCAAACCTTTTGTGGAAAGACATGGAAAGACGTACGTGCTGAATTTCTTGATTAAAAGACACTGTTTCCAGCAATGATCATGATCTGCATAGAAAGAACATATTGAACTGACACTGTGCATATTATCTGTGCATGTTTGCCTGTTTGCCTGCATGTATGTTGACTCCAACAAGTCGCTCTCAAGGGACTGTTTTGACCAAACATGACTGTCTAGCAATAGCTCAAAGATCGTGGATGAACGCGGAATCATGGAAGCAAGTTCAATGATGTTGCCCATTCCGCCGTCCAGGGCGTCCAGGGAGATGTTTTTGTTGCTTTTTCAAATACAGCAACAGCCCATGGTTGGAGGATACCCTTCGGAGGATACGGGACATGTGGTCAAGTTAGTCTCATACCGTGTTTTGACCCATATCATGCGAATTGACCCAACTCCTCGTTCGTCTCTTCGTTCGTCTCTTCGGGCGTTCCGGGTCATCCCTCGTCGACGTGGGGATTTGACTGATCATCTCAAGATCCGTGATCCATTCTGACTCCCAATGCTGGCGATTCGGCAAATGGACACTTGAAGCGAACTGTTCCATGTTCCATCTGTGCTCATGTTGAGTGGGGCAACTAATCCCAGGTTCAAGTTGATTCACGGTTTTCTCAGCTCCTGGCGGACGACTCCGCTACTTCGGCCCAGCTACTTCGGCCCTCGGATGTCCACGGCTTCACCCTCTTCGTCGGTCGGAGCTCACTCGGGCCCAGGATGGATGGGTTGACGTAGCCCAAACGGACGGCTGGCTTTGAGCCAGCTGGAACGAGGACGGCTAGCAACAGATTCGCAGATCTGGCCGTCCGAGGGTCTCCGAATCGGAACCGGGATCAACGAATATCAACGAAAAGAAGGTGGCGTGCTGGCATGCCAAGTGGAATCACGTGGGACATCCTTTCAAAGTGAAACGATCCAAAAGTTCCCCCTATTAAACTTGGCTCCTTAGCTGGCTCCCTTTCCAAACCCAGCTTCTTTGGAGCCTCAAAAACACCTAGCAGCCTAGCAAGACTCCCTCCAAAACCCAACCGCTCTTTCTGGGAAGGGCGACTTGCCTGACTGGTGACCGTGGCAGGCTGTCTGATCTGCAAATCCACCGCCTCCGTGCAAACGCGCAGAAACACGCAACTCACACGGCTACACGATGCTACACGGCATGGTGCCGAGCCGACTCTATGGCAAGGGTCGAGTCTCAAAAAATCCGACCTCTACCGAACATATATGTGCTTCTCACATAGCAGCTGGACACCTTCATGTCATGTAGGAAATAGTCCAAACAACAAGTGGCACTTAAGGGTTAAATGCGGCTTAAATACTTCGACCTTCGCCATGATCGTTCTTTGTTTGTGACATTTCGATTTGTTCCTTATTGTTCCTTCAAGCAACATACTCTTGTAGAAACACAATCTCCTAGACCCCTGCCAGCCGTTCAAGCAGCTTCATCTGCTTCTTTGGCCGACGCAAGATCACTTGGCTTCGCAAGACACACAACGCTGTGGTAGGCATTGCAGCGAAGGAGAGCAATGGCAAAGTTGCCAAAAAGGGAGAAGATTCAGGGTTGATCTCACCTCGGCAAGGGGTTTTCCTGCCAGGACCTGACTGACCCAGTACCGACGGGACATGACCAGTCATGAACGAAAACAGGATGACTGGAGCCCCATGCTCCGAGGTATGAGTTCCGGGTCGACTCCAGATACAAAGAACAGATGTTTGTTGTGCTTGGTGGTATATGGTGGTGAATGTTGAGTGTCAACTTCAGTAACTGTGGTTGAGCCCAACTCGTGAACGGAAATCTTCGGTAAAAGATGGTTCTCCAGGTGCTAGCCTCGCCTGCCCTGCGAGACCTGCGTTCACTCACACACACACACACACATGTAGAGACAGGGACCGTTTCGGACCGTTTCAGACCGTTTCTGCATGGAACCTCCACGTCTGAAGGACTGGTCGCAAAACCTCGCTTTGCTCGACAACTCATCGGATTCACCTGTGGATCGGTTTCTCAGACAATTCGGAAGAAGATGACCAAACGGAAGAAGATGACCATGACGACATGCAGAAGAATGACATGGGGAGTCACCACTCCAAGATGAAGATGACTGATTGCTTGCAGAAGTTCACCCATTTCGGACCTGTAAAACTCCACAAATAGGAGGAATTAGAGGTCGGATCTACTGATCTCGATGAGATCTCGAGGTCACAAACTCATATACCCAGACACTCCAATCTTTTGGGGGTCAATGTAGGCATTTATATGGCATACATGGAGCATCTGGGAGCGTGTCCTCATGTTCTCCGTTCAAAAGGGTCGGAATGAGCTCCGCCTCCGCCTCGCCCGCTCCCTCCCCCTCGGTCCGCCCGGTGGCCGGTATAGACGACTCCCAAGGCAGTCGCCACGTAGAGCAGCGCCAGCATGGCTCGAGCCAGGTAGCGCCGGAGGTCCCAATTTTCCGCGAGGGCGATGGCACAGGCGAGGACACTCCAGCAGCCCTCCTTGATGAAGCCATCGATGCAGGACATGAGTGAGATCAGGAAGATACCTGGAGAACTGGAGATAACTTCATGAGGCTTTAAGAGGACATGTTGGGGCGAGGGACGAGGGAAACGCACGGCCAACGACCGAGTAAAGCTGGTCCGTGGAAACCTCAGTGACTAGTGATTCTACATGACCAACTCAGGTCTTTGACCCATGTAGACATGTTTGTAGTGTTTTTCAAGACTTCTCACTGGGCTACGGGTTGGATGGGATGGGCTTGCCACTTGTTGCAATGAACTAGCCCCCAGAAAAACAATATAATCAGGAAACATCAGGAAACATTGTATTAAGAGTAGTATTAGTCAGTGCTCAATCTTCCCTTCCAGTGGATCGCATCAGGTCTTGGAGTCCATCCCCAGGTCTTGGAGTCCATCCCCAGGTCT